GGATTCTGCCTGTGACCACATTTTTCTAACATCTGTATGCCATATTTTTGCAGCACAGACATTTTCCGATCCTATACAGCGCAAATAGAGAATATGTTGGTATTTGCAGGATGGCGTATGCATTTCAACGTTGAACATTGAAGGTGGGATTTGTGAACTGAACGAAGCCGACTTTGACGTTACTGTACGTCCTTCAGTTACAAGAAAACAGCTGAACGATCATATCAGAAATACAGGACTATTCTTTCCAGTTGGTAAGTTTTTTCTTAACGGTTAAGTAGTCCTGTACTCTGAAGACAGTTTCCGCGATGAAAAGGATAGGCGGAGAAAGCCACCCATTGCGCCTCTCTGCTTGAGGCGCTCTAGTGAAAAAAACGCAATGGTTATGAGCCTCCGCCCATCCTAACATCGCGGGTGGGGTGGGATTTGAATCAACGTCAAGAATACGATTGCGCTGATGTATCGACCTGTCTCGCACTATCTTTACTAGTAATGCCATTTACAGATCCAGGAGCTGATGCTTCATTGTGCGGCATGTGTGCAACTTCTGCAAGTGGAACCAACGCTGTTCGATACGGTTGGAAATCTATTAGAAAGTAAAAGTGGAAAAGTTGATGGAAAGCAAGTTAGCCTCCAGATACTGCACGTAAGGCTTCGAAGGCACGGAGCCTTACGTGCAGTATTTGGAGGCTAACTAGCTTGGGCGTCAGTCATGGGATAGGGTCAGGCTGCGTAACATTGGCACCATCTCCACCGCATCCGGCTCATGCAATTGTCGTCATATCCGGGAGAAAAGTGGGGCAGTTGTTGCATGTTAAGCGGTCTGTGCTGCTCAGAAAGATCCTAGGAGATTAACAGATTTTAGACAGACAGTAATATTATATAGTCATAGGGAGATGCAACTCTCCCTCATCCAACCTCACTTTCGATCGACGCATCGAGTTTCTCGGGTAACGGGAGGTGGGGAGTTGTTCTGAGGAAGGTGCGGATTATGTTGGGGAAGTAGATGGAGTCATTCTCAATGAGTTTCTCGTCTTCATGCCCACTGGTTGGGATACAGCAATACCAAAGTTATGGTAAAGTGGGAAAATTTATTTTTCATATCATTGTCAAAGATATTTTCTTGCACGCTTCTATTTTCGTTCTAACTATTGCAATCGCTGTAAGATGGTTATTTTCAGGGACTATGAAGGAGAATATACGTAATCTTGAAGTAGTATTGGCGGATGGTTCCGTTTTGCATACTCGAGGAAAAGGAACGAGAACGAGGTACCTTTTCCCTTGTTTGTGCACGGGGTCATTGCGAAGCCTTCTTTGGGGGCGGGGTTCACACCGCTTTTGGCACCCTCGCACGGCCTGCCCATCAGTCGCGTTGTTCCCCATGAGTAATATGACTCGTCCATTAGACTCCTTCTCCAGTTTTTTTTTTTGAGGGAATAAGAGAAAAGAGACTAGTTCAGACGATTCTACCACTCAGGAACGATTTCTTAGCCGACGTAGGGCGTTAATACATCTGAAAACTCTTCTCGGTGGGGGGGGGGGGGGGGGGGGGGGGAGGATGGCGGGGGAGAAAGAGGTGTTCAGATCCAGAAACGATTGAATTCCTACCATATGGCAATTCGTACATTCATAATAACAACTCTCAGTCCGAATACGGCCTAGATAATATGTGAAAAGGATAGTTGAATGAAAAGGATACAATAAAGATTTCCACCTAAAAACCTCGAGTGGCTTAGCAGTTACAACAGAAAACGATAGTTATTCAGGAAGTCAGCAGCCGGCTACAATCTCACTGAACTTTTCACTGGTTCTGAAGGTACTTTGGGGATCATCACGCAAGCTGTTCTGAGGTGAGTTGCCACCAGTTTTTTCACTCTTCATTAGATCCTTTCTTTTGCGAACAACACAACCAAGGCTCGCGCTGTTTGGATTGCTGAGGCCACCGCATGGTACTTTACAGAGCTTGTACTAGCTACCTTCTGAAGTCCTGTAAACTGCAGTGGCCAAAGTGGCTCCCTCGCTCCATTCGCAGCTTCCCAAGAGTTCTCAACCTTCATCAAAATGAGGCCTGTCACTGAACATGAACTGACAAAAGGAACCAGCGAAAGTGCAAAATGCCCCTTGCAAGCATTCCCCCACAGCACAAAGAAGCTTATGAAGCAGTTGACAGCTACATAAGTAAGTGTTACTGTAAGCCAACAGGGTTTCCTACTTATGGCCCTGCACAGGAGGTCCTGATATTGCGCATCGTGCATTTCCGAGGTAGGGTTAGCACTGATCAAACCTGCAGAGGTTCGACTCTCTTCACCCACAGGATCGGACCGTAACTCTCAACAGTGCCACGTGTGCAAAAAAGATGGACAGTCCAGCTATTCACTACCATACTCTTCCCACTGATCCGCTTTGCAGACATCTTATTCACCCCAAACAGCGGTATTACGAAATGAATAACGAGCAATTTCTTATGAGCAAATCAAGAAGAGAAGATTCTCACTGTGGATGAATTTAAAGGCATCGTTCGCGCTAGTCATATAGGCGGAGCCATGCGGCTGGAAGGGAGTGATGTTCAGAGCACCGGCTTTCAAGAAGGCTCATTGGAAAGTTCTGGAAGACCTTAAGATGCTTGGCGGGTCACCATAAATTTCAAAGCGGATACGAGGCGTCGTTCCAATCATGTGCTTGCCCTCAATAATGAAAACGCGCTGCAAACTGTGTTGCATCACCCCCTCCCCATGCCCGCCTCCCTTAAGATTTTTGTTTTGATGACGACTACAGTAATAAGTCTGTATGGTGACATTAAGGCTACACTCCAGACCGCAAGCACAAGCTGTAGCTCTCTGCCATTTTCCAACAGTAGCAGACGCCGTGAATTCAGTCGTGGAAATTCTGCAAATTGGAATACCTATTGCCAGAATTGGTAATTTACCTTTTTATTCGCAGTTCTATGTCTACTTTAGAGAATCCGCGATAATCGGATAGGCGGAGATGTGATGCCGTTGTGCCTTGATCACCGGTGCACCGCTCCTTCTAATATCGTAATGAAGGAAGTGAGGTTGAAAAGCTTCTGCTTGTATGGTGAAGAAGAACGCGAAGTAAAGGGCGTCAATGGAGAGGACAATGGGCAATGGTTATGTGTCCCCGCCCACCCAGTTATCGCGGAATGCATAAATAGCTCTGGGATTAGCTGTGAATTTTTTAGAATTCATGGATGATGTACAAGTGGCCGCATGCAACGCCTACAGTAAACTGAATCTAGCCGAGCAACCAACCCTTGCACTCGAATTTCACGGAATGGACGAACGCGAAGTGGCAGAACAAGCCAAGTTTGTTGGTTAGTCAGTCTCAGACACTTTCTAGCGATGGTGCTTACATTGACGTCATAGCTCTGAATACAGGAGAGGTCTGTGCGAACAATCAAGGTTCCGCGTTTGAATGGGCCACAGAACTGGAACAAGATGGAGACGTTGTGGAGAAGCTCGGCAATAATGCTTATTATGCTGCATTAGCCTTGAGAACTGGAGCTAGGGTAACATATCATGATGCCATGCTCCCTGCATACGAGAGGGCGTGTGAAGGGCCATGGAACAGCTGGCAGTGGAAGCTGCTCTGGCTGCGCTCTAGTCACACCCCTTTCACGCCCTTGTCGTTTGCCGGGGTCATACTACTAATACTAACACTAACGATTAATTTTTCGCAAAGCTGCTACTAACTCAAAACATAACAACAGTACTGAGTTTCACCTTTAGAGAACCTGAAAACGCAGTCGCAGGGATACCAAAAAGCATGGTCTACGCTGAACATATGGGCGGAAGTCGGAACGGCCGTTGGTTGTTTTTCGACAGTGTATCCTTCCCAGAGCTGCTTAGGAAGGGGCCCGTCCGTGAGCGCATGAAGCGATTCTGGGTCGCCGTATGGCGGACGTGACCTGGAACGTCGCAACCTTTTGCGTCTGTCTCATGGCTCGTTTAATGATCAATAAACCCATCCTTTGCTTCCCGGGTGAGAAGAACGCGCCATGGCCAGAGCAAACCCTTGCTCGGGTGCAAGTGGCTGCCAAAGCATCGAAACGTGCAAAAAACGTATGGCGAGCCAGGAAACGGGATTTTCAAGGGGAGGGGACTCCGGGTGGGTGAGCTACTTATAGTCGGTGAAAAGCTGGAGTGAGCGAAGTCACAACGGCCATAGAGTGCCATGCGGACGAGAGAGTGCAGAGAAAAAGAGAAGATCGACGCGTTCAAAGGATTGAGTTCGAGTTGTCCGTAGACCTCTAGCCACAACTAATATGGATAGCGGTTAAGGCAGCGCTGCAGCGTGGATTGTGGGCGACTTTGGGCTCAATATTCTCTAGTACGCATCTGAAAATCATTCGAAGCACAGTGGTGCAAAATCTTAGAAGTGTCCGCTTTGGTAGGCAGGATGAATGCTGAATTGTACCATGCAGATGACTTTGCACGAGTTGAGTGAAGAAAACGTGCCTTTCCGTGGCCTCCTTGTATTAAAATTAAGGAGTTATATAACCTTTAGGGTTTCACCACAGACGTATGTGTACCGATTTCCAAACTGGCAGAGACAATCGTACAAACAAAACAAGACTTGGACGAGTCGGGACTGAAAGGTTTGCTCCTTATGTGTTTCTATACATATGTCCCAGTGTCCTACGTTTATATTGAATCACTTTGTCTACTTTTCCCAAATACGTGCCATTTGTATTTACAAAAGAATCGAACCAGCTGTAACCCTGTTAGTTACACAGCGCGCGGGTGCACGCTGAGACGTTGCCAACAGTAGGCTAGTCTTCGTTCTGGAGATCATGAGGAACAGGTTCTACCCATTACCTCTTCAAGAGGCTCAGGTAAACTTAAAAACAGTTCCCGCGATCAAGTGGTCCGCCAATGCCCCGTGTATTTGGCACTCGGGTCCGCATTGGCAGAGAATGTACCACTTTCGTTACTCGAAACGGCGAGATAAAGAAGCTAGAGACGCGTGATTATTGCAACCATTGCAACCACGATTACTTTCACTCTGCAAGACAACGGCTTACAAGCGATGCGTGCGTACATAGCGTTGCCTGGAGCGTCGTAGGGCGATTTCCTATGCTGCCGGGAATTGGTTGCACGTCGAATCCTGCTGATTGGGCTTGTCCAAGGTCCGAAAAACTCGTCCAAGGCGCCGCCCCACTGCTAAGGGGGGGGGCGGTCTTTGTTAAGGGTGTTCTAAGATTTTCTTTTGCTTCTTTCTCTACTGGGAATTTACTTATGGGCTAGTGGTTCATGACTATCACCTACTACCCGCAACACTTGATCGCGGAAATTGTCTTTAAGACAAGGATTAGAATCTTGATCGATGTAACGACGGTTACCACCCTTAAGAACAAGCATTTTGTCCCATACAATGGACGTGCTGCTGAGATGATGTGATCGTTCATGTTTCTATCCGCTGATTCTTGTACTGTTAAACGACTAAGGAAGCATAAGTGGTTCGATTAGTTCATGCTGGCGATCCGAGATCGAACCATTCGGGTATGTGATGCGCGGTGCCTGGGCTCCTTGCCACTAGACCACCTTTGCCCCGGTAAAAGTTACTGATGAAAACAGATGAAAAGATGAAAAAACGGGCTAAGATATAGTAAACCCTACTGAATAACGTATGTTTTTCAGTGTAAATGTGTAACTAGACGCTTTACGGGGGAAATTCATTCGTTTTCAATTCAGGCACTATAGTTGG